GTGTCGGTACCGGCCCGCGGTGGCTGGTGGCTGGTGGGAAGTTTTGGTTTCGATCATATCGGTGTAGGTGGGCGGGGCGGGGGGCCCGATACGACGTACGACACACGATGCGCACAGCACACAGCACACAGCACGGATTGGTGGGGGATGACGTCGGGTGGGGCTGCGGATGCTACGTGGAGGGGACGATAAGGGCGTGGGCGCGGGTGCTGGCGGTGGACCGGTGGTATGGGCGGAAGGATAGCGTCGCGGAGGCGGGGGGAGCGCAGCGTAAGCGTAAGCTGCAGGTGGAGGCTGGATGCGGGAACGCCAGTGATACAAGTTGTCCTCGCTGCGCATGGACGCGCGGGGGGGCCGACGCAAGACGTTTCCGAGGGCGATAGTGGTGGGATTGGCCTACCTCTTCCTCTACCCCGTCCCGTTCGCTCTTCATTCTTCATTCTTCATTCTCCCCGTCCCCTTCCTGCACGGCCGCGCGACTCTCGATGGCGGATCTTCAATTAAGGTTGAAGACTCGGAAGAGGGAGGTGAATGTACCCGACGGGGCGATTTCGTTGTGTTCTCAGCCACTGCAGTGCCGTGCGCGCTCCCGGTACCCTCCTCCGCAGCGTGCTCGTGCGTCCAGGGTGGGGGATGGAGTCCTCGCGTCCCGGGGGTGACTGGAGCACCGTGCCTGGTACGCGTACCCCACACACCTCATCCGCGTGCGGCTGCTGACGGCGCTTGCAGATGGTTGGACATGTCACTTGGTATCCGACCTTTATTCTTAGTTACGCACCCCACCTCGGCCTCGGATTCATGAGCGGCTGATGGATGTAGGAGTGGAATCGGTACCGGCGTTCTCGGTAGCAAGGAGATTCGGCGCCTACATCCGTGTTCGGTGCCGCAAGCTACTCCATCTTAGCACCTCCGCTCACTCGACTTCATCCTCCTGGACAGACAGCAAAGAAACAGGACGGCGGGGAGTGTTTAGAGGAAGTGTGGATGGAGCGGGTCTCGCGGGTGGGACATTTTACTGGGGCTGCCAAGAGCAAGCGGCGGTGTTGGGTGAAACGGGCGGGGCGCGTGGGTCAAAATGCGCAAGAGATCGCGGCGTATTGTTTGATTTTCGTTGCGAGTTTCTTAGCGGGCAACGAGCAGTGGTTAAAACTTGTGTATTATATATCGGATGCATAATGAGCGAGCACGGAAACAATCTGGAATGTTCAGACGCTGGATTCAGCTACGATGGTCTTGTGTGCGACTCCACACCAAAGTTTATAGATCGCATGAATGGAACCGATGGAATGTCAAGGATGGAAATCTAATAAGGACGTCTGAGCCCTCAAACTTGTCTCTGCTTTTTCTACCGTGCTTCGGAATGAATTCAATTTTACCCGCAATGCGAAACGCAAGGCCGGCCACAGAGAAAGAGCTTGTTTCATCGATAATAAATTAACTAGACCCAGTCCCACAGATTATCGCCAATTTTGGCAGCGTTACTTCTCGTCCGTATGCAAGTCAGACGTTTTGACATCGTTCGCTCGAGGGCTCGTGGTGACTTGAGACTCGGTCGTGACATGTATCTTCGTCTCGATGAGTTCAGAGCCTGAAAGTAGTATAACATCGGAGCGCACCTGAACTCCCTTTCCCGCCGGGAACAAATTCCCCATCTCGAACACGGGCTGCTTGCCATTCTCCTGGAAGCTCCGTGCAGTGCTGGGCGGGGTTTCCAGGGTGCGCGTGTACAGCGTAATCGTATTGGGGCTATTGGGAATGTTGTCGTTCTCAGTCCGGTGGCGGTTGCCGCCGGATGTGCTGACGGAAGCGTGCTGCGACGGGCCGCCTGTGACCCAGAATATCGCGGCGGCGTTGAATATGACCTGCGGGTACAAATTTGGTTCGGAAATTCGGCAGCATGTGGGGACACGTACATCCGTTGCACAGCTCGCGAGGCAAACCCACCCGAGTTGGCGTCCTTTCAAGGCAGTGAGAACGGAAATGTTGACCTAGCAGGAGGAATGTGAATTCAGTTGTTGTTTGGCAGCATATGGGATTGAACGGACCGTGGATGTCGTGAGCGCCGCGGCTGATGCGCTGCGGGAGGTTAGCGAAAAATCGCGGAACGATAGCAGAACAGATATACACAAGTGTCCGAGTAGCCACGCCCCGCAACCGTGCGTTTGAATGCGCCGAACGGAACAGCGGCCACAAGAACAGTCCCGTCAGAAGGATGTTGATATATCTGAAAGTGAAGTCAAGGACGGCCGTATTGACGGAATTTCTGTGCTCACAGATCATACGAAAGCAAAGGGATCGAAGCAATGGGCTTGAGGCCGATAACGCCTGAGGCAGAGTTAGTGCCATACAAAGATTTTGCTGAACAAACTCACAGGCGCCGTCGCCGGGGCGGAATTCGTCAATGCGTCCTTGAACCTGCGTCAGATGTTTGGAAAGGAGGATTCGGATGTGAAGATGACAAACCCAAGAGCATGCCCAGAACGACAGCGGAGTACAGGAATACGGTTGCGATGCAAATGAGATACGCCGGAGAGCGCCAGCGACTGCTGCCGGTGTCCCAAACAATATACACTTTCTCAGCTATAAACAGGCGTTAGTCCCCGATACGATTTAAGAGAGGATAAATTACTCAAGAACGCATATATGAGGAGTTTGGACGACGAGTAGAACAAAACACAGAGGAGGATTCCGGCAGTGCACGCGCCCGAATTCATTTGCAGACCCACGCCAAAGATCAGAAGGCCGGCTGGGCGAGGCGTTCAGTTATGACTGCATACCTCAACAAAAAATCTCACTCACAAGAAAACATGAACAGGTATGAGTCCAAGAAAACCAGGAGAACACAGACGCGTGGCCAGGTTAAACGCCCCCATGCCTCCCTTGTGGTTAGGCCCTCGCCCGAAAATCTCCAAGAAAAGAAGAACGTGAGGGCCGTAACTCCTACAGAGGGTAGTCAAGTCAGTGCTCATGCCGAAAGAAAGAATCCTCACCCAGAAAGTGAACCGAGGCGATCACTGCCTGTAACGCTGCCGTCGGGAACATGGAGTAGGCCATGACGCGAGAACGATGAACGAGGTGGGATTTCGGATGGTTACAACCGCACCACGCGAGTATAATATATCCACCCCACCGGCAAAACTGTAAACTGTGCCTGAACTCCTAGTAAACTCTACAGGGGCAGTATGAGCAAAAGAATCCAATTTGTTGCAATCGCACCCACAGGAATAAAATTTCGCCGCCAAGGCCGATGTCGCCGGCACAGGGGTCAAACGTTACCACGGCGAGATTGTTGCGATACAGACTCTCCTGAGTGCTGAATCCGAAATGCGAGACAAAGTAGCTAGTGACGACGATTCGTAAAGTCCGGGACAGTGCAGCAGACGGTGTGTATGGAAGGTGGCGAAAAACTGCAGAGCCCAATCTCAAAGAACGCCACATGACTGGGTGAGTCGAGGGGATTCGGGTTTGATTCGGACGTGGTGGTTTGAAGCAAAGGAGACGCCGTGGGAAAATCAATTATAGCCGAAAGTTGCCGTCCGATGTTCGCGTCATCCCACTCCATTCGCCGCTGAAGTCCTAGTTCCTCCTACGCCTGCCTTTCTGCTTCGTTCTAATCACTAAAAAATTGCGAACCGACTCGAAAACCCAGATATCTCGACCAAATCTTTGGGTAAACCTTGGTTCTCCGCTTTTTCGATTTTCAGAATGGGCAACCGATCTGGAGGATTTGTCCCGGAACTACTATTCTTCCTTCTATCTCGATTCGAGATTCGATCAGGGTGAAACGATTCTGCAGATTGTCCCGCCGGAAGTCTCTTGTGCACACTGATTTTGGGTTGGCAGGTGGTGGCATGCGGATTTTTTCTCTCGCGCTCATCGCTCTCGTACAGACACATATCGATCAGGTTTCCGACCCCGCGGACTTCGACACGTACCGTGGTGCAGATCTGACCGTAGAACTCATACGCGGTGCAGGGCTTGGCACCCCTGTTTGAAATTGTAACATCTCCGTTCACTTTACCATGGGTTCGACTCCCAGCATCCGAATACACCATCCTTTGTCAATTTTTTTTTCCGTCCTCTTCTGCGCGTGGCAAAGAACTTTGCTTTCCTGGTTACTCGGTAGGCGGGTTGTCCTGAACTCACAATATCCGACTGTGATCTGGCAGTGCCTTCCTTTTCGCCAAGTGCATCTCTCCTCCGTCTCTTCATATCTAATATTTCATTCCTAATGTTCTTACTCCGAGGTACTCTAAGAGACATCCTCATTGGCACCTCGGATGCGGAGAGTAGTGCGATTGCAGAAAGTGAAGATCTGTCTAAGTGACTAAGTCTCGAGTCGGCCTTGAATCTCATCTGGGGTAGGATTCTCTACACGAACTGCGTATTCACTCGTTATTATTGAAGCCCTCCGCCGACCATCTATTCCATTCAGCAAGACCGCTGTTCATAAGTGGATTTCTCCTTCACTTGTTTCACCCGCCGAACGTTCATCACAGATGATCGCCTCCCTACCAGAGAGAACGCCCGATGCATCCACGATGATCTTGCTGGGTTCGGCTATCCGCGCTTGATTCACTCGTAAAGTGCATCTCCCATTTCTTGTCTTTTGGGTGGAATATTCGCTTGTCCACGGCCATTGTTCTCTGACAGATACTTTGGTGCATATTGTTTCTTGCACTCGGACGTGGTGCATGTGCACCCCTGCTCTCATTAAATGTTGCGAGAAATGATTCAGCAGGTGACCTGGGCTCGACTCCCACCGTGTGAATAGCACTGCCCGTGTCGCTTTTTTCCCTCTCGGTTTCAATTTCCCCCCTCTCAGTTACTCCGTAGGTGAGTGGGTATGCCGCTGGCTCATCCGACATTGGTTCACTTTCATTCAATACAACGTCGGCCAGTAATATCCTGGTGTACAATGAAGTTAGTATTGGTTTTTCTCGCTTTGTTCGAAGTTCTGAACCGCCGCATATACTCCAGTGCACATGTTTTCTGATACCTCGGACGTGGTGCGCGGCGCACGCCTGCCCCTTTATAACGAGGCAAAGAAGTTCTAGACGGCAGGAAACCCCGGGTTCGACTCCCGGCGTCTGGATAACAGCCAATGAAAAGCCCTTTTTTTCATACATGTTTCTGCGTTCTGAATCCATCCGCTGGTGATTCTGTATTTTCGATGAGTTGTCCGGTGTCGAGCCGCTGATTTTTGGATTATGATGCTCTCCGCCGTCAACGGATGACGCTGCTGCCTTGAGCTCACGTAAACAGCTCGGGAGTGGAGATGGGCAAGTGCCAGTTTACATCCGCGGTGTACTTCGTACTTATTCTCCCGCTCAATAATGTTTGGTCGCATTCGACCTCCCCAAACTCGACTCCGCTCACCTCCGATTCTGCCTTCCATTTCCACCGCAGCTATCATGGTGCAGATCCAGAGTAAGTACTCGGGCGCACGCCTGCCTTAATTCGACGGAAGAGAGATCAAAATAGGAGGCAGGAAACCCGGGTTCGACTCCCGGCGTCTGAATGGTAACTCGTCGATACACCTTTTTTTCTCATACATGTATCTGCTTTCTGATTTGTCCTCGGAGGAGCCGCTTACTTTTGGATCAGGATACTATCCTGTCAATGACGCGGACTTAAGCTCACGCAGACAGCCCGGGATTCGTTCGACGCTTCCCTTTCCACCCCGGATATCAAGATCCGGACTAGATGTGGTGCACGGCGCACGCCTGCCTTAATTGCAGGAAGAATGCGACAAATTAGGAGGCAGGAAACCCGGGTTCGACTCCCGGCGTCTGAATTCTGAATAGCTCCGTCATCTCATATTTTACTTCTCTATCTTTTTTGCCAATCTCATGCAATTTATATACATCACAGAAAAGTCTGAGTATTGAGTCGGATTACATGTATAACTTCAATGGTACGCTGTATTTGATTTGGCTTTCTAGCCTTCACGCGCAGTTGGCAGGAGGAGGAGGGATATATAGAGGTGTTATAGAAGCTTACGCGCGGTGTGCGTAGGTCTAAATTGCATGGATAAACCTAAGAAGTCGCTCATATCCTCTCGGGCGCCCATCGGCACTGAAAAGCAGCCGCAGCCCGTCGTGGTTTGCGCGCCTGCGGCGTCGCGCGTCCAACGCCACGGCTCATATGAGTCGATTGAAGCCTGTGTTTTGAATGGGGAGAGTCGCAGGGAAATGCCAGGAGGGAGAGTCACGGAGGTGTGGGACGAGCAACGATGCGAAGTGCGTGCAAATCCGCAATGCAGACACAGGTTCGACATCCTTGACAGTACGCAGGACGAGGTCGACGTCGTTCCGCTTATGGGTTCGAACCATATGTACAGGGGCGGAGCCTTTTAAAAAAGACGGATTTCAGCCAGCCTGACCCGGGTCAGGCTGCGGAGGCAGGCATACATACGTACTGATGAAGGGCGTGCGCACCGTTATATCGTTCGCACCGGGGTTGACAAATAGCCAGAGCACGCGCCACGCCAGCCCGCCGGCGCTATCAACAACCACGAGCATCCTGCTCCACGAGTCGGGAATAGCTACTGCAGTGCATACTTGCTGTGATCAAGATGCGGGATAAGGCGGCGGCAGCGGTCCAGCAGCACGGAGGAAACGAGCGCGTCGGAAAGGAGTGGCGCGGCCAACGGTGCATCGGTCTTGAGGGCCGCGATGTAGAGGAAGGGAAGCGCCCAGGGGACGCGCAAGAAGGTCGCAGGTCGCCGCCGGTAAGGGGGTTGGCACCTGCAGAGGAGGCGAGGCGCATGTGAATAGCGCCAGCTGTGGGGCCGATGGAGGTGGCGCGTGTTTATGGAGGAAAGCGGAGGCAAGGGCTGGGAAGAGACGCATGAGGAAGACATGCTGGAAAGAAACATGAAGCGCCAGCTGGCGTACATGCGACAAAGCGAAGCGGCGACTTTCCGCATTGTTGAGGGAGATAAGCCTCTTGAAGTCCATCTTGTTGATATCAACCCTCGTTACTTCACGGCGCCACTGGTTAGCAACGTGGCTGGAGTGCTGTCCAGTGGCAGATGAATCACGGTGCGTGGCTTGCCGCTTGCGCTCCAAGATGATTTTCGGGTGTTGGAGTGTATGGAAGTACAATCTCCGAGAAACACGTCGTTGAACCCGTGGTTCAAAGAGCTAAAACGGCGACAGCCGTTGGGTGTTCCAGATCAGGGAGCAAAATATTTGTCATCCGCATAAAGCCGATCCCGGTCCGATCGCGCGATCGCCCGACACCCTCTTCCAGCGACATCCAAGCCAAATCCAAGCCGCCTCGTTGAACGCGCTCCCCTTTGGCAACACTTCTCTTGCCTGATTTACGCGACTATCACCCTCGTTCTTTGCGTATAAGGTCTGTGGCAATGTTTTGTGGTCCGCTGCCAGCACTCTGGAAACTTCTTCAAGTGCGAGTCGAGAAACGTTGCTTCTATGCTCCACTTTCCTACGAATACTTCTGGACTCCTAGAGTCTACTTTGAGCATCTCCAACTTTCATACTATTGAATCCCCGCGTCCCTCTCACATTCGGCCGGCACTGATTAATATTCTTGTACTGCAGTCTCGCTGATCGTCCTTCCATCCATCCCACTCACACACATCCCAGTTCAGACTCGAGCAAGACAATTGGACGTGGTGCATGGTGCACCCACTGTAACTTCCCGGTTGGAGGAGCGGGATCTGGGTTCGAATCCCAGTGTCTAAGTGCCCCGTATACGATTTAAATCCATTTTTTCTTCGGACAGGTACCCCAATCCGGCTCCTCGCATCCACGGTTCCCGGAGGAGCGCGAGTCCTTTCTCCTCCTCGAATCTATTTTGTCCATACTCACAGATCTCCGAAAGCGCCTCCCTGTGATTCATTTATTTTATTGAGTCCATTTCGATTCACTCACTCATTCAACCCAGCGTATTCACATCCAAAAGCAATTCGGACGTGGTGCACGCTGTATCCCAGCTTGCAGATACGCAGCTTGAATAGTCCCAGGCAGGCTGGGTTCGACTCCCGGCGTCTGTATGTTCGGTCTGTAAGTAACTTTTTCTCGTCCTTTTCCTTTTACTAACGCGACGCCGGATTCTTTCTCGCACGATCCCGACGCCCGTTCTCCTCGCTTCTACTCCCTCTTCTCGGCGAGTGTAAGTACGCAACTCTCTTCTTGGCCTTCGACTGTTGCACTACCGCTGAATCTTGATCATTTCCTCGATCAGATACCCGGGTGCACATCGTCATAAGTACCCAGGACGTGGTACATGCCGCACTCCTGCCGCCAACTCCTAATATTACGTGCGGTACGCGTTCGACCTGGGTTCGACTCCCGGCGTCTGGGTGAACTAGACCAACAACCCTTTTTTTCAACTTCTGGGTGAGCGCGAAGTATACTCCCTAACGCACGCATGCCATGCTACATCTGAAACTCAATTGATATCTCAGATCTCGACTTCGTGCCCGGCGCATCTCAACTCGCGACTCATATGCGGAGGCGCGTGATCCGGGTTCATTTTCGGCGTCTGAATTTCCGTCCATCCTCCAGAGGTTATGTATAATTTCCATTCTTCTCGCTCCTTTTCGATTCTAGTTTTCTCTTTGATACTGCTGCACACTTGTCCCCCAGCGAGAGGTGTAGTGCACTGTGCTTTCCTTGTCCTGCGGCAGTGCTGTGCTTTACGCAGTGCAATTCATCAGATGAGCTGGGTTCGACTCCCACTCTCTGATTCACAAATTTCCTTGTACCCTTTTGCTTCAGTGACTTCGAATACAGGTAGCACGCGATGTGCCGCACCACAATTGACGCGAGTCCAACTTGGTGGGTACTTGTTTATTCTCGACCTTTCTTGAGGCTTCGCCTTCATTTCTGGACTCTTACTCCGCTCATGTTGGCCATCCTTCGCCGACGTAAGAATTTCCAGCAGCACTAGCACCTCGGGCGTCGTGCACGGTGCAGCTTTGCTTGCAATTCGTCCATTGGCAGCGGCAATAGTAAGTAGGAGTAAGGCTAACTGGGTTCGACTCCCGGCCGCTGAATCAGTCATATAAGCCCGGGCTCCATCTTTTTGGTTTCTTGGGCAGTGTTCCGTTCGTTCTGTTCTAGCTGTCAGATCAAACAGAAATCGGGAGATCAACCTCGAGCGTTTGAGTTGGACTTTCTGAATCGCTCCCGGTAATCTTTTTTCCCCCACTCGCGGAGTCTGATGTACCGGAACTTCTAGAAGCACACAAAAAGCGCCTTGATTGCTCAATTCTTTTTGCTTTCTCAACTGAATGTAGTTCGCAATCACTGCGTTCAGACGGCTCGGGTGCACAGATAAAAGAGCCTGCCTGCCGGCACTATGCCGAGCTCTTCGGCATACCTCCACTGTATGGCGACGTAACTCCGACAGGGTCTACCGCGGGGCCGCAGTGAATTGATTGAATTTCTGCTCAAGCTGACCTGCATTCCATCACATGTAATCTGTGGTGTACCTCGACCCATAACTCGGACGTGGTGCACGGCGCACCCCTGCTAACGCTAAGGCGGTCTTCGAAACGAGCTTCAGCAGGTGAACTGGGTTCGACTCCCGGCGTCTGAATTACCAGTGGTGTCCAGTTCCTTTTTCTATCCGAATGCGCCGGAAATGAAACATCTCATTGCTCAGGCCCTTAACATTTTCTCAACCATTCAATGGTAGTTCATAGTATCAAATATCTCTGCTCGAGTCCGCCCACTTTGTTAATGTTGACCGAGGTAGTGTAATTTCTCCCTCATCCGGTACACAGATGTCTCATGGATTATCATTTCCTCTCGAGAACCTGTTGTCGACTTCATTCCCTTCATACGTGCAACTGAATAATTTCAAGGGGATGTAAGGACTGCCCAGACCGACGCCTGGTTCTGCATGCAGCGGTTTGTCTTTGGGAATTTGGATTTGCGCTGGATTTATTTGACTTACCCCTCTAGGGCAGCTAATCTTTGCACGGCATAGATCAATCACAGTAGATTCACGTTGTACCACTGAACAGATAGTACGATTATAAAAGCTGATCCTATAGTCATCTATCATCTAGGCCGGGGAATACTGAGTCAAATCGATATACAAAAGTCCAAAAAGTCC